TTTTCGGAGGCCCGTATTGTTAAGGTGGGGGGCCCTAAGATTAAAAAGGGTGCAACATTAAGCTCGAACGTGATCACTTACCCAACTCACCAACACTTAGACAGAGAATCCGAAGCACCCAGTAGACTCGGCACTGTTCCAATGTTTAAAGTATACGTCTCATTGGAAGCTCCCAATGTCCGTGCCTCACATAGGTTGATATGTCTTGCTTGCCACCAATCACGCCTGACGAAACACCAGCGAGCAACAAAATGGCAAAGGATATTCATGTCAGCGACAAAACTGTACGAACTTAAGTCCCCATATGATCCCTATGTAATCCCTACATAACCCTGTATACCCAATATTCTATCTACTTAAGGGGGAGTGTACATGTCTTCCAGTTCGAAAGATGGAGTTTAGGGAAAAGGGTGACAGGCTGCCCGGGGTCAGTGTCTACTAGGCTTCTTGGGGCAGGAATTATTTGGGGTATATGGGGATTATATAGGGGTATATAGGGATTACATTGGGTATATAGGGATTATAAAGGGTTATACAGGGGTTATATTGGGATTATATACGGTTATAGGGATTATATCCGGGTATATCGGGGTTATATAGGGATTAAATAGGGGTTATATTGGGATAATGGAAATAAAATGGAAAGTACCATTCGTGCAGACATGCAGCAAGGGGACATCTTAAGCCCAATGAAAACTGAAACCGGGAACAAGGAGTCTCGAGGGCACCAAATCTCAGAATCTCAAACCTCTAGAGTCCCCCGTAAGTAGATAGAATATGTCTTTGGGTACATGGAAATAAGATCCCCATATTCGATCTAGTTAAGGGCGACTATAAATCTGAGCCCTTACATCTACTAAAAACCTAGACCCTAAACTTTGAACCCTAGTTGAACTGCCGCATCATGCTGACACTGAATTTGCGCAACAGGCGCAAGAGGTGAACACAGGCTCCGCTGAACACAACACAACCAACGCCCGTGGGACTACTGCACGGCCATAAAGAACAGGAATAAAGTTTGGGCGCATATTCCTTTAGCTACATGAGAACTACGCGGCAATGCTATTGCAAATCATCCAGGTTTCTGCGCTATTCGCGTACGAATGAAGGTCTTCAAGGTCATGCATGGGCCAGCCTCTTGAACATGAATGGCGCCAGAGTTCTCAAAACACTCTCCACTTGGGTAACGCTGGTCCTTGGCTGATTGCCAGGAGGTCCATCCACCGACAGATCATGGTCCCAGGTAAAACCAAAGCATTTTCAATGGCTTGGAGCACATGTGACACTTTCCCTAAATAGGGAGACCCCAGTATGGACCCCCCAAATACTATAGTCCTTATTATGGGGACCCCAAAATGGTACCCCTAATTTTGGGAAACCCCCATGTGACACCTCATAACCAAGGACCTAGGCACCATCAGCATGAAGCTGGTGTACCGTCAATACTTGGAAGTGATCAATGGGTCTACCTGGAATGCAATCATCACCCATCATTGCCCTGAACTCATACGGCTCTAAAAACCCTCACCTGTAAACCCTCAACTCTACTGAATGGACAATTGTGAGTAATTTTTGGGGTTATTGTAGCTTAGTTCGCTTCAATGCTTGCGGTTCCTGCTACTGAACAAATTTGAGGAACTTCAGCTTTAAACCCTGACCAATGCAAGCCTATATATCCCAAAAGAAATCCACACATCCTCGTCTCTTCCCAGGAAACGCCGATCTACCCCTACAAATCTGTCTATAGCTGGTTGTGGTCACTGAGCTTAACGGCTACCCACCATTCCCAAAGGGTCCATGTAGGTATATGGGATATACGTGGGCCTTAAAGTAGGTATATGGGAACCCCTTTGGGTGCTAAGTATATACCATATATCTACTTGGACCCTTTGGGATTTGCTCCTATTCGACACTTCCGGCCTGTGCCTCTAGTACTTGGTCAGGAATGGTGGCATGAAACAGAACATGGGAACTATTCTTTGGGGTTTAAGGTTGAGGGTGTCGAATGCACTACGCCAGGCCTGCTGTGCGGGTTTGTTCTCTTGATCGCTGCTACGCACAAGAAGTTGTGGCTCTAGAGACACGTTGCAAAGCGAGAGGCATATGGCGCCTGCAAGGAAAATCAGTGTAGATGTGGGATCTGCATTCATCATTTCCCTTAATGCTAAACACCCCTGCACCCCACAAAGTATGACTATGTCGGCTAATCGGCAGTCATGAGGAGTATTTGGGGTGCGTAAGGTTGCGACACAAGGATTACAAGAATGCCAAGCTACGACAACACCCCCCTAAACCATACTTTTGCATGTCCAAGAGTCATCTTGGGCATTATCAGCATCCTCTTCCCAAACCAAAACGCATTAGAGTAACGGCAGAGATACTGCACACCCATGTCGCTAACATTGCGTTGTTGCTCTTGGGCCGACTTTTGAAGTGACCTCTGCAAATCTCCGAGGGAGCCTTCTCTGTCCTGCATGCCATCTCGTGCGCCAGTCAGGATGACAAAGTAGTCCTGGCTCGGTGCGTCTTGAAACCAGGAAAATCACCCAGAGGGTCCACATATACAACCATTAGGGAATTGGGACCCATAATTCCTTCTATAGTATGGTATTTTGGGCCTAATTCCCTAATAGTTGTATATATGGACCCTCTGGGTCACATTCCTATGTTGGCTTACTCAAACAGGTGCCATACAGTACTTACCACAAGCCCAAATGCTGCAGGGCTCCGAATGCAGCATTGGGGACATTGATGTGAATCTACGACTTTCTGTCCAGACTTGTAATCGTGACAGGTTTTAAGAGCCCAAACCCAATGATGCCCTGCCTCTCACCTCCACGCGTTTCGGTGGATGATAATGAGACATTCAAGAAGCTAGGACAACAACTACAACTACAACAAGTCCCACCTGCCCGGTCCTGGGGACTCTTGGCAATTGGGAAAACGCGACGAACATAGGCGCTTCTTCTCATAACGTCCCCCCCGTATTTCGAAAAAGACGCCCGGATTCGAATCCTTTTGCATCTCAACCCCCCCTCATTACCCAAACCCAAAAGTATGTAAAATAATAGCCCAAAACCCCTAATGACAGCCAAACAGGCTAGCAGTCTACATTTCAGGGGTCCAGGTATTTAATATTTTGCCATTAATTGGCACCTTTTAAGGTAATCTTGCCAATTTAAAAATAGCGTCTCAGGACTTTGGGTTCCTGCTCGGGATACTTGTTATTGGAAGGCTTATGAAGAAGGGGAAGTGATTACAATGGTCCAACAAAGGCAACAGGCACCAGCATAGCAAAAGCGATCCAAACGAACACTTCCCCTGAGGCTCAAAATAGCCCAAAATCCTTTCATAGTATGGTCTTTGGGTCCAAAAGCCTTAAAATGTGAGTCCTTAGAGCCTTAGGGTTCAGGACGCTTCATGACCGGCAGGAGAACCTGCGCAGGTGAACCTATGCCTGAGCATCTGACCCCCCAGATCCCCAACGTTGAAACGAGAAGCCCTCTGCTACGTGCGCAACAGAACACGGAGAACACGCTTGTGAGAACAGACATGAGCTTGTGCAAGATCTATGGCCCCAATTGTCAATTTCCCTTTTCAGGGGGGATCTATGATTCTACGATTTCAGGTGATACATGGGCACCCCACCTTGAGCACATGCTCACGTGGTGTTCTCAAACTGTTCTCCCTCTGTTATGGTCTGATAATCAACCCTACCCCTCATACTCCCTACATGCCCCTGGGGTCCCGAGCGCACCACTATTTTTACAACTTCCGAAGCCGTTTCCAGCGCGACCAAGGCTCTAGAGCTGTTTGCAAATCACACTCACGAGATCGTACCATGACGTAACGAATCACGGCCACCTGGGCTACAGGCTGTGTTCCCTTCCTCCTAAACCCTAAACCCCTAAAATTAAGCACCCACGCACCCCCTAAATTTTAGTATTCCCTTTCTGCTCATAAAGCCGCGGGGCAAGAATGAAAGACATTTGAGGAAAGCAGGATATCGGGTATAGCCCCCCTTAAGTAGATAGATTGTGGGATATATGGGGATCTTATTAGAATATACCCAAAGCCATATTCTATCTACTTAAGGGGGACTATATCTTTTGAGAAGTTCCCATGAATGTTCACAACCAGCCCACCGACGCGCGATACTTTCCGGGATTGCCCGCATGGATGCCCCTGACCTGGGTCGTGCCCACGAACTCCTCCAGAATGAGAGTTCCGTATGCAGGGTTTCAAGGTTTAGAGTTTACTTGAAGGGTCCAAGTACCTAAAACCTGTACTATAATTACCACTACCCAAAGCCCAACTACCTCATTGGACCCTCTGGGTGTATAGGGCTTTGGGGATTAGGCTTAGTTAGGTTCGCAGTTTCGGGCTTGGGGTAGAAACAAAGTCCGATTCCTAGCCGTCAGGCAACGAACAATTTTCAAAGTGCAGAAGATTGACCCAAAACCCTCCTTGGCTTTGGGCTTCTCTGATGGCCCACGGGGAGGAGAGTTCGGAACATCCGTCAGCGCAAGCAATGATGAGTCCTGGCTTGCTGTTAGGGTTAGGGTTTAGGGTTTAAAGCAAGTTACCATAATATGGAGATAGAGCGAATAAGCTGGTTTCCCGATGGTAATAGCTTAGTTCTAAGTCATTTAACTGGCTATATAGCCCCAATTTCCATGGCATGTTCCGTTGCTTGTCCTTTTGGTTCTGATTTTTCGCAGATTAGCCCTACGTCCTGTGGAATCATAGCTTTGCCCGAACCCTAAGCCAAACCGTAAAACCTTAAACGTTCCTCAACAGCAACCCAGAATCAGAGCTCTCCATGTCATCGCTGCCTTCTGCACAGCTCCCTGCCAGAGGGATGACAATGTCAATGTCGCTTGCTCTAGGACCCTCAACCTACAGCCCCGTCATACCAGGAATGAAAATTATGACTTCAACTTTTTGGAAAACGACGTGCAACAAAAAAAACAAAACGGTTTTCAAACAGACTCCAGCAACGGAGGGGATAGGCTCCACTCGCTCGTTTGTATGAGGAGTGTTGGGTGTCAGAAGCCACTGCTCCAGGAGCAAGCGCTGCGGCTGGGAAAAGTCTTGCTCAAAGACCTCCTGCCTTCTTTGCCGCGGTAGCTTTCGCAGCAGTGAATGAATCCTGGCCAGCAGGGTGTCGCTGAAGGGGCTCCCGCGCTCCCTGGGTTTCTTCGCTCCAGCTGATTTACTCATGCTGCTCTTTGGGCAACTCTGCCTTTTCGCAGTTGGCTTATCTGGCCCTGCCTGCTCCTTTGGAGTACAGGGATTGCTTTGGTTGTGCCTCCTCTTCCGCTTCTTGGGTATGCTGTCCCGAGACGTTGTTCCATGTGACGGAAACTTGGCCAGCCCCCGGTCATGCTTGGCACGCGCCTGGCTGTCTGACAGGACCTGGAAAGCCTTGTACACCAGTTGAAAAGCCTCTTTGGTGCCACCCTTATCCTTGGTAAGCCATCTGTGCCAACGTGGGGTTCAACAGTTTCAAATCTTACAATGCCATATGTTCTGCTAAGCTCCCCTCCAAATGGGGCCCGTTGGGATGAAGTCCTGGACATTGCAAGAAGCGTTCTTTGCGACAGCACTTTCTCGGCAACCAACTTCAAACCCAACCCGCAAGCGCCTTGCCGGCACATTTTGCACCCCTCAATCCCACACATGGACTCCAGGTCTGTGACGGGGAAACGGTTGCCTGTATGGCAGAGAACCCTATACTGACCTTTGGTTAGCGAGGAATGAAGGAATCAATCCTAATAGTAGTTCTGGTTTCCATTTTCTTGTCCATTCCTGCATTCCCAGCAAGCCAAAGGTAAGCAAAATCATAGTCCCCCTTAAGTAGATAGAATATGGGGTATATGGAGATGTTAATAAAATCTACCCAAAAACATATTTTTATCTACTTAAGGGGGACTATATTCCCGCATACACTGCAAGCCATCCCTTTTTGCTTACTCAGCCCCTAAACCCTAAACCCTAAACCCTAAACCAGACGATTTACGCACCAACAAAATCTGGAGATTCCACCTCGTGGCTTCTTTGTGTTCCTAAAGCAGCCACGTCCAACTCCCACGTCTATGTGGAAGAACCTATGTGCCCATAATACTTTTGGTCTAGGTTACTCT